TTCCTCCCTACATGACCTCAGAAGTCATGGACAGAGACCACAATAAACAAACACCAAAGTAAAACAACAGCCCTTCTCCCCACCGGAAATGCAATATGGACAAGGAGAGGAAGATTTCAATTCCAATTAAACAGTTTAGAACCAGAACTTCCAAATAAAATAAAATAAAAATAAAAAATCAAAGAAACAACAAACCAAAACCCAAAGTTTCTGTGAAATTAAAAATACATATTGATCAACCATCCTATGCTAATTTTCTGTGCAAGTGGGTGGGTGAGACCTCTACTACCTGCAATGACAGCATATGAGCAAGACAAGTTTGATGGCACCATACTGACTGGATTGAGAAAGAATGCCCATGGACTTGGAACCACCATGGGAAAGCGCTCCCTTCACTGCCAGTAACTGCTTGGGAAAAAAATCAAAGCAAGCCCTGTCTTCTAAGCAGTATCCAAACTACCCTGTGGGCAAATACTATTACCCTGAACCAGAACTTTGGATTATTGTCTCTAAGCCAAAAAGACATGTTAACACTGAAAAACTAGGCATGATCCTCCTTACAGTTAAATTCCAGTAACTTCTTCGGCATTGTGACAATATCTAATCCACAGCTGAGAATTTTCCCCAAATTAAAATACTCCAAAAATCATTCTGCGTTTACTTTTTAAGTTTTTAGAATGGTTGAAGATGAGGAATGTATCCAGTTACGGTTCTAATATATTGCAAACTATTGTGCAAGTAGATTTGTCCTAGGTGTTCTACTCAGGTTGGAAAACAGTTTTTCTGTTAAGATTCCAAAATTTGGTTTAATAGGAATAAATCTTATATAAAAAAGTAAAGGCAAAGGTGCTGGCAACTACACTCCTTATCTTTTATTCCTATGTAAGACTGAAAAAAAAGCCCATTATATTGTATTATGATTGAAGCCATTAAAATGGCATTCCAAGAACATGAGTCACCTTATATCGCTTGGAATAAAATACAGGAAGAAGAAACAAACCTATCCCTCCTTCTAGCTGTAAGAAACCATCCTAGAGAATGGTGTGACAGGAACTGACCTTTTAGAAGGGAAAAATATAATCCACTAGCTTCTCATGGATGAAAGTCTCATTTCCTTCTATAATATTTGTGTTTTTCAAAACACTATCAGCAGGTGCACCAGATTTCAAAAACCTCTTGTCCTTCATCACATATAATTGTGCTGCATATTATATTAAGAAATACAAGCAGAGGAATGTAAGTGATGTGAGTTCAATTAAAACCAGCATAATATCTGTTGCATAGAAAATGATTCTGCAACTGAAATCAGGTTCTAATGAGGAAAAAAAAGGAATACATTTTCACGTATTTTTAATTACACAGACTTTCCTCAAACATGATTTTTGATAATATATTCCATTAGGTTAACATCATATTTAAAGAAAGTGCATTTTCTGATTTCATTTTAAGTCTGATTCTGAGCAATTATTGTGTCATTGTTCTGCAGTAGAAAGGTTGAATTCATTTACTGTGTGGTTATGCTAGTTATGATTGATGTCGCTTCTCCAAATGATAAACCAATCACCCCAATGATGTAATGTCATTTTAAGAGTGCTATAATCACATTTCTCTCAAACTGGAAGCTCTGATGAGTTCTAACAAAGATTTATTGTAGATTAAAGGCCTTCATAATATCAACAATAGATTGCTCATTTGATGGAGGATTTGATTAGGTAATTTTTTTAGGCAAATGAGTTTTCCAGATATACCAAGAATGGCTCTTGTGAAGGGCACAGGGCAGTACACGTGGATGACTATCACCTCATATCCAAGAAGACTCATCTTCAAGTTGTTGAGGAGCTATCCTGTAATTGTTGAGGTTGAAGCAAGCTTAAGTGTACAATCAGACTATTAAGAGGACACTTATATAATGTATTCAGTATGAGACTTCTGCAAATATTTAATCTTCAGCATCTACTTTGGAGACTGTGATAGATTCGTTCAGAGAATCTAGAATCTTAAATCTAAGTATCTTCAAATACCTCCTTTTCAACCCAAGACCAAGCGTAAAATATTTAAATGTATTTACTCTCTCCCAGACGCCTGAATCTATGGTGCCAAGTTTCCACAGGAACTAGAACAGATTAAAAAAAAAAATTAAAAAAAAAAAAGAAAAAAATAATCAAAGCACGGTTCCACCTTTCCATAACATCTAAATGATGAAAGCTACCCTGAAAATCTTACAATAATAAGAATGAGCCACACAGAAAGGTTAGCTTTTCCAAGTCAAGGTATATGGCATTATCTGTGGTGTTTTCTTATACGCTCTCGAAAGGAAACATTAGAGAACTACATGAGAACATGTGAGAACTACAGAAAAAAATGACATCATTAGAAAACACTTACTACTTTCCAGAGGATATATTAAGTTTAGAAGAACCTGTGCTATAGAACACTCTCAGTGGTGATCAAGCAATTAAGCATGTGTCTATGGTCAAAAAATAAGAACCCAAACCAAAAACAACAACAAAAATCCCCTGACACCCCATGGCTGTTTCTTACAGCCTGAAAATTCAGTTATTATGACTGTTCATTAAAGAATAAAATGACACATTTGGGGGAGATAAATGCTAAAATATAGAATGAACAAATCAGCCATTCATATACGAATCAAAGCATATCTGAGCCTATAGAAAAGGTTCATTGGATCCAGTCCACTGCAACAGGCCAGAAACACAAAGCTTTTAAGGATATAAAGAAACAATGATTATTTTAAAAATGAAACCTAAAGAGTTCTTCCATCAGATTTGCAGTATTGTTTTACTGTGACTTGTTTTATTTGGCTTCATGAGAAAAGCAATGCTAGTTCACTCAGCCTCCAATGGCAGCTATTAACACCAAGTACCAAGTATTCAAGTATCCTCCAAGTCTCCTTTTGTAGTTCACATTCCTTGACCTTGATTTTCTTCTACTTTGTAACCCTTATTGCATCTCTCCCCCATTCACTTTTTCCAATCCCCCTGAAACCCTTATACACTGATCCACCATGTCTTATACAATGTTCTTTCTTTTCCTCTTTATTCCTTGTTAACATTCACCTGTTCTGAGCTCTGAGATGAAGCATGCACATCCGCAGCAACTCACTCCTGATTGGCAACAGCCCATCACCATTACCAATAGTGAAGCAGAGTTGCTTTTTCCATGAATACCACTTTACATTTCTCTGCCCTGATTTTCCTCTGCCATTTATTTGCTCTGTTACTTGGTCTCAAAATATCCTCTTGTGATTCTTTATAGTCTGATCTCATCCTTACCATACTGCCATCAGGTACTTTTCTTACCCCACCATTTTCTCCAGGTATCTTCATGTCCCATGAAAAGTCATTGGGGAGCTCCAGCTTCTACTGTCTTTCAAACTCCTTACTGTGAAGGGGTCTTTCCTTTTTTTCCCCTTAAAAGTGTTTAGTAACAGATTTTGCTGAGACCCATTTGAAAATATAAAGAGCCTTTATTAACTAGATCACCCTCATTCAGAAATGAACTCTTAAATGGCTACCCTTTACAGAAGCTATACTGTGTCATCAAAGAGAGATCATATTCACTTCCCTCCCCCCACGAAATGGTTTCTACTGAGTTGCCTATTACAGAATTTGAGGTCTGCTACTCCCAAGATCCCCCTGAACTTCTTAAAAAAAACCCTCAAAACTGGAATCATATTTTCCACCTTCTACGCTGTAGTAGCAAAGAAGCATGCTCAATCTCTGAATTATTATTTCTTTGTGTAATTATATTTTAACACACCCGAATGGCTGGTCAGGTTAAAGGCTAATTCAGGATGGAAGGAACCCCAGGAGGTCCCTGCTCGTGCCTCCTGCCAAGCAAGGGGCAGCTCTGAGGTTAGATCAAGTAGCTCAGGATTTTAACCAATCCGTTCATGAAAGCCTCTGAGGACAGAGCCTGCAGAGGCTCTCTGGGCAACCCGTTCCAACCCAATCCTTACGGAAAAAGTTTTACCTTATATCCACTCTGAATCTTATGTTTCAACTTCTGCTCATTGTCTCACCCTCCCACCATGAGCCCTTTTAAAGAGCACCATATGAGTGTACTGTATGCACCCACAGAGGCCAAAAGTTCCACACCACATAGTACCTCCAGAACTGTGTTGTTACAGGAAAGAGTGACCTTGAGCAGATCAGAAAGTGCATATAAAATATGAACTTATAGTATTTAGTTAAATAGAGAGGAGCTGCACAACAGACATGTATGTTAAAAAAACCCGAACAAAAAAGGCAAAACATAAGGAACTATAATGGCCTTCTTTTTTTTTGCCTGTATTTCTAAAAAGGGATTGCATCTTCATTCCTTGATTTCTGGCTGTCAAAAAGAAAAGTCAGCATCTGTTAATAATAACAACAACAAAAAAAAAAGGAATAAAGAAAACCTTAAAAACTTCAGATGACTGAAAGCAGAGCTGCAAATGTTTTAAAACAGTGGCCTGAAAGACAAGAAGTAATTTGCAGAAAAATAGCAGTATTTTAGTTAAATGTGACATTGGGAGTACAAAATCAGACAGATTCTGAAACAAGAACAGACACAGAATGGCAGAAGCAACACACATCTTTAGATATAGAACCTCATCACCTACATGAGCCTATGCAGAACAAAGAACCATTCTGTGTAAACCTCACTCTTAGAAGATGCATCAAGGAGCTGGAAACTTACTTTGAAAAATAAATCCCTCTGATGAGACAAGAATACAGTAATATTTTTATGCTGCTTGTAGCACTCCTAAAACTAAAAAGCTCTCTTCAGTAAAATGAAGGAAAAACATAAATGATGTATGGTGTTTCCAAAAAATGTTCAGTGCGATAAAACTGTAAGTTTTTGTTTGCCCTTTTCCATAGATGCTCTCAATTTTGTGCTGATGCAAGAACATTTGCAATAAATGAAAAAAAAAAAAAAAGGCATAAAACTGGCACAAACATGGCACAAAAAAACTCCATATGTTTGCAATTTCTTACCACTGCTGGAGGCCTGCTGTGGCCCTGAACACGCTCTTAGTAGATATGAATTAGGAGAGAACTCCTCATCAGGATTGGTGTCCATGATTTGATGGGACGTATTGCTGTCTAGCAATGGCATCTGGCAGCTAACTGGTGGAGGATTATGAGAACTGGGCAGCTGAGCAGATGGGAGAAGGCTAGACGAGGATGTAGGTGGAATGGGACGACCTGGGAAAGAGGACACAGGGATCAAAGATCAGCAATGAATGTAATGAAAAAAAACCCAAACAGCCAAGTAATTGCACTGTAACTGTCTGTTACACGATTACTGCTGTGCAGAGCCACATCATCTCTCCACTGGTACAAACTTGTCCCTTTGTATCATATTCAAGGCATTGTGAGCAGCTCGGCTGTAAACTCATTCCAAAAGTCTTTCCAGAGCATTGGCTTGCAACCCATCAGGTGAGCAGATGCTGGTGTACTGAGAGCAACTGCAGACCACTGGATCGGGAGCACCTCTTCTGCATGGGTACCAACACACAGAGCACCCAAATGCCCAAAGGCCCCACACTGAATCCTCAGGTGGTACAAAATGCAAGGGCATCAGCTACAGATTTTACCAGAAGAATTTTCACAGAAATAGGGTGCATTTTTTTGGCTAAATAAGACCAATGGGAAAGGGAACTACAATGAGCTGATTCCTGGAATTACAGCACATGTCTGTAATCATCTCTTACAATAATGGTGCTGTTCTGGTTTCTTTTTTCTTTTTACCAGTGAAATTGCTCCAGTACAGGAATTGATTAGAGGAATGTAACAAGAACCATATGAAGGTTATTTCCAAGCTAAGTATCCTCTGTATTATTGTAGATCTTTCCAAACCCACTGGTTTGGACAGCAGGACTGAAAGAGAATTATCCCATTTGAAGAAATGGGATAAGCTGGAATATGGACTGGAAATTCTTAAGTGTTTCACGGTCATTTCTTTCTGCACTGGTGCTGTAAGGGCAGAATTTCTTGCCTCGCTCACCAGACAGTTTAATTTCAGCTCTGAAACCCAGTCCTTAATGTGTACAACATACCTCAGCCCACTGTAACAACACGTTTTTGGTCAAATAAGCAAGTAGCATCTAGTCAGCAACAAAAATGTTCATACTTACTTATTCTTTACTTTTGTGAACTTCCCTCTAGTGACCTTATATTAATTATAACTTTGTACCAATCTATTCCATCAAATGCACACAGATGAATACAGGTTTTGAGGGTTTTTTTGCATTGCCTATTAGAATATGACTGATTATAGAGATGAGAGGAAGAAGAGAAACATGAATTCTGATCTCTGCAAGTTTATCTAGTGCACTGGAGAAATTGTTCATGAATAATTTATACATAGGAAAATATGACCCCTGTGATACTGCTGAAGTCTGTGAAGCAGAGAGATCTGCTGCATGCTAGCTACTGATGTTAAAAGGCAGCAAAACTACATAAAATGGTGCATCCTTATTTCCATCGGTCTTAAAGAAACAGTAGCAGAGCAAATACACACTGGCTTCGTCACTAGTTACATTTTCTTTCTGGGAAAAGCAAATGATTTTTTTTTTTTTCATAGGAATTTTATATGAATTGCACTAAGGTTTATATCAACAGTATGAGGCACACATCAAATTCCAAAGGACAGAAAAAAGTAAAGGAAAATTAAATAAAAGGTTCCATTCATCACATAGAAATTATACTTGGGAGCAGCACTCAACCAAAGGAGTCACACAGTATCACAGTATCACAGTATGTTAGAGATTGGAAGGGACCTCAAAAGATCATCTAGTCCAATCCCCCTGCCTGTGTTCCAGTTTGTACCCATTTCCCCTTGTCCTATCATTGTTTGCCACTGAGAAGAGCCTGGCTCCATCCTCGTGACACTCCCCCTTTATATATTTATATACACTAATAAGGTCACCCCTCAATCTCCTCTTCTCCAAACTATAGAGACCCAGCTCCCTCAGTCTTTCCTCATAAGGGAGATGCTCCACTCCCTTAATCATCTTAGTTGCCCTGCGCTGGACTCTCTCCAGCAGGTCCCTGTCTTTCTTAAACTGAGGGGCCCAGAACTGGACACAATATTCCAGATGAGGTCTCACCAGGGCAGAGTAGAGGGGAAGGAGGACCTCTCTCGACCTACTAACCACCCCCCTTCTAATACACCCCAGGATGCCATTGGCCTTCTTGGCCACAAGGGCACAGTGTCGGCTCATGGTCACCCTGTCGTCCACCAGGACCCCCAGGTCCCTCTCCCCTACACTGCTCTCTAACAGGTCGTTCCCCAACCTATACTGGAACCTGGGGTTGTTCCTGCCCAGATGCAGGACTCTACACTTTCCCTTGTTATATTTCATCAAGTTACTCCCTGCCCAACTCTCCAGCCTGTCCAGGTCTCTCTGGATGGCAGCACAGCCTTCTGGCGTGTCGGCCACTCCTCCCAGCTTAGTGTCATCAGCAAACCCTCATCTAAATCATTGATGAATATATTCATCAGTCAGTACCGACCCTTGAGGCACTCCACTAGATACAGGCCTCCAACTAGACTCTGCCTCATAGACTACAACTCTCTGGCTTCTCTCCTTCAGCCAGTTCACAGTCCACCTCACTACCCGATCATCCAGACCACACTTCCTCAATTTAGCTGTGAGGATGCTGTGGGAGACGGTGTCAAACGCTTTGCTGAAGTCAAGGTAGACCCAGAGATACTAAAAACCCAACTCCTTTCTCTGCATGGTACCAGCAAATAGCATGGACTACTTTTTTACCTTCAAAAAGTTTGAAACAAAATAAATATGTGGATATAGAGAATTGACTATTCTGCTTATTTTATTATCATGTTTTTAGCACTGCATAGATAGATAATGTCGTGTTTGAACCTCAGCTGGTAACTAAGCACCGCGCAGCCACTCACTCACTCACCCCAACAGGATGAGGGAAAGAGCTGGAAAAGTGAGAAAACTCGTGGGTTGAGATAAAGACAGTTCAATAGGGAAAGCACCCGACACACAGCAAGGCAAAACAAGGAATTCACTCCCCACTTCCCATGTTCAGCCAAAACCCCAGCCAAAACCAGCACAGATGATAAGACTAAATGACCAAGTTATCACATAACAAAAATGGGCTTAAGCTACTTTACGGTAATCCCCATCTACTGTCTTTTATGCTAGAGAAAATTCAATATAGATTGAATATTTCACTGTGGACTTGCATTTACGAGGAAATAATTCTAATATTGATGATAGGAATAATTACTGTTACTATTCATGATTATGCTATTGTTACAAAATACTACAGTGAATATCCTAAATATTAAAGGAAAGTGATTGAGCAAACCCCGTTACTAATTATTCTTCTGCAGTGTGTTATAAACAAGGAAAGAGGCTGAGGTTTGAGACAACTCACACAGGAATATGACACTGCGCCTATTGCAAGCATTTAATTTTCAGATATTCTGGTTCTGCTTCAAAATTATGAAGTTAAAAGAAGATTTATAATTCACAGTCTGCATTTGCTGCATCATATGGAAATATATTACTGTATCATAAAAATGTTGGATGTGAGGTTATGAGACGAAGGGAGAAAGATTTTGTCTTCTGTGTAATGTGCATATGGTATTTCAGGGAAACTTAGGAACAATTTTGCAGAGTACTTTGAGAGAACTGAAAAAAGCCAAGAATTCTTTTGCCAGGAAGGCTAATCATGTTGATACCTTCATGAAACAATACAGCCCAAATCCCTGAAGACAAGGTAAAACGTCTAATTACTATAGCTCCGTTTGTAGGTTAGAGGAAACAGAAGGTAACAAGTTGTTAAAACATTGCATTATTTTGGTGGGAAGTTGGCTTCTGAGGAAAATTTGCCTATAAGCACATGTTAATTGAAAGCCATAGAAGTCTGCAAGTCACAAACCCTGTTGCTGATCTGTCCTGTGCTTGGATTTCCTAATAACCTCTTAAATCTGATTAAAACTTTTCTTGTGGTTGGGGAATTCCTGATCTTTCTGTCAAGATGATTTTTGACACCTTGTAAACATTAAACTCCCGCTACAGCCTTTTCCTGTACTGTAGTGGGGATTCAGCCAGAGCTTCTCTCTGTGCGGCCTTCCACCCCAGCCCCTGAAACACATGGAATGGCTGAAGACAAGCAATCCTTTGTAAAACCTGTTGGGAAGCAAGTTGAAAAATTACCAAAGAGGAACAGAGAGAGACACTTTAGCTTTGTTGCCTTAGGAAATGAATCCAAAGGGTAACTATCTGCAGTACCACAGTCGAGAGAATGGTTGTGAAAGTACCGAAGAGAATTGAATGGACTTCAGTTAGGCTATAAAGAGCATGATAAATGCAATTTATTTGTTACTACATACTCTTAAATTAGAAATAATGGGTTCAATTCGTAGTGTTGAACACTAATATTGTGGTCACACAAGCTCAATGTACCATTTAAAATAACAGACTATGCTTTACAGGTTTCAGAAACCTGAGCTTCCTTCCAGACCCTTTAATGTGTGCGTAGATATTTTTACAGTTGTCGTATTGTGACACCTCCCATCTCTTGAAATGATTCTAAATTTCCACCACTTCACAATGGGATTTGCAATCCCTGCAGTATTATAGAGCATACTGTCAATTCTACTACACTGCTGGTTTTGAAAGTTAAATCCATAATGTAAATAGGAGTACATACAGTTTTTGTCTGCTTTCCTTCAAACAAGACTTTTGTCTAGCTGTGCGTTGACAGAAACCCTGTGTAGAGGTACGTATTTCCACTGACAGCAACAATGTAAATGTGTAATATACCCACAGAAATTTAAACCACATACACATGCTATAAAGGAAAACCAAAGTCTTAAAGCTGATATATTACAATTCAGTAGTAAAAGTTAATACTAGTTCTTCTTTCCAGTATCTGTTCATACGCATATGCTCATGCATGGCAACAAATTGTACAGATACTGACTACAGTATTTGTAGAGCAGCCTAGAACAAGAAAAGGTTTTCCTTTTCCTCCTTCCTCCTTTATGGCTTTCTCCTGACATATATCTTATCTTACTACTTAGAGTGAGGGAAGAAACTTGATAACTCTCCTTCAGGAGGGCATTCTGATCCGAGATAGCTTTGGGCTCCCGTGTCACACAGCATCTCAGTCTGTAAGGGCTTTTCTTATGATCTTATCACTTATATTCCATTTCCCCC